AGGCATAGGAAAAGATTTTCAGCTAGTTCACCTCAGATCTGGAAAATAGAATGAACCGTCTGAAACTAAACTCCAGAACTAAACACATATGAGTGATTCAGCATCTGCATTTAATACTGTTAAAGAGGTTTAATATATATTAATTAGATTATAAACCGTTCGGTGAGTGAGTGCATATTCTGTGCTTCCGAGTGGCTGTGTTTAAACTTCTGTTGAGCAAACAGCCCAATTGCTTATCATTACAAATCTCACCACATAGTGTATATCCCGGGAGTTTGAACTCGGGTATCTCAAAAACTTCCCCCTTGGTTGAGAGCTGACAGCAGATTATAATTGCTATGTGGAGATATACCAGCCTGATCTCATGAGAAAACGTAATTATTTTACGTTTTGGCAGTTTAGTGGCTAATTCGTACGAGTTCAGTCGTAAGACAATGTACAATTTTAAAAAGGAGGCGTGGCACCTAACCCCACCCCTAAACCCAACCGTCATTGGGGGATATGCAAATCGTACTAAAATGTACGAATTAGATCGAATGAATTTGTACAAATTAGCCACTAAATGAAAAAGTTACGAATTGCCGTGAGATTGTGTTGGATATACTGCTGGTTAAGAGCTCGACTATAGTGTTCATTTAGATTAATCAATTGACTTATGACACATGTTTTTGGACTGTGGGAGGAAACTGGAGAACCTGGGGCGAACCCACATGAGCATGGGAAGCATGTGTAAACTCTGCACAGAATGACAACTGGCTTGTTAAGGATTTGTACCAGTGATGTTCTTGCTTTGAGGCAACAGTGTTAACCACTGGGCCACCGTGCCGCCCTACAAAGGGAAAAGTGGAGGGCTAGTGGTGGAAGGGGGCATTCTTTAAGGCAAAGACAACGGTTGTAAAAAGCTCTATTTATAGTGAGTTAGGAGTCATCTGATGGGTAAATCATGAAGAGGACACTAAACTATCAGTATGCGCCGTCTTTTGAATGAGATGTTAATGCAAGGTCCTGACTCTCTGTGCTCATTAACAATCTCAATGCAGTTCTGGTAAAGAGTAGGGGTGGAACCCCAGTGTCCTGGCCAAACTCCCTCCATCCCCATCCACTGAATTGGCTCTACCACTGTCTCTCCACTCCACTGGTGTGTGGTGAGCGCACTGGCGCCGTTGTTCTGTGGCTGTGAAGTGAATGCTGCACACTGGTGTTGGTGTGGATTGTGTAGTGCTTTCGGTGTATGGCCATTAGGGGTGTCAAAATGAATTGTTTCTTTGGTGCACCGCGATGCAGACGTGGACAACTCGGTATCGGTTCAGTAATAATCATAACCGGTTATTATGTACTGACGTTATTTATCTCGTATGCGCTCTGTCGCAAGGGAAGTGAGCTGGTATTTACAACACTCCAGGCGCCAACTCCTTAAAATACAGAAACGGTGCACAATTTCACTGCGTGTGTGTGTTCTATGGACAGTCTTTCACTGACACTTACAGCAGAAGCCCCTATTTCTCTGCGATTGAGGGATGAAAGTGAACTCAATTTCTCTCTCTCGGTGGCCCATTTCACCTGCTGGCGTGAATTTCTCCCCCCTCTCTTATCCTCTCGGCTGTTACAGAGATACCTCATTGTCGCAGGACCAGACCAGATTTTATGTGGCGCGGGAAAAAAATTCAGAATAAAGCGTGGGAGCGGTCGGTAACTCTAGCGTAATTTCAACAAGAGTGGGCAGTCTCACAATGTTGCTCCCGAGCAAACAAGCGAGCAAGCGTGTGTTTGTTTAGTGCTTTCTATGTTTGTGTATGTGTGTGAATGTGAGAATGTGTGGTGCTGTGTGTCTATATGTGTGTATGCGGGTGTGTTTATACAGACAGCTTGTTATAGTCCCCCCTAAAACAAATATAACACTGTGTATGGAAAGCATTGTCAATGCACCGTGATGCACCGAGATATCGAATTGAACCAAATCGATGGCATGATAATCGTAACCGAACTGAACCGTGAGACCAGTGTAGGTTCACACCTCTAATGACCATACACGATAAATGCGCTATATAAATACACATTAAAACTAATTTAGTTTTTCCTCAAAACAAGCAAAATAATCAGGCAATGGGGTAAGATTTTCAGATATTTGGAGTAGAAACAATATAAGAGCTGCGTCCCAAATCGCATACTTATGCACTATTCTACGCCATTTTGTAGTATAAATAGTGTAAGTAGTGTGTTCACACTGAAAACACTAAAAATAATAAGAGCACTTTAATTACCCGGATGATGCACTCATTCAGCCTCTAAAATGAAGTGTGTAATGATGGACACTTCACGCACTCAACGACCGCAGATTTGCTTACGTAGCGGAAGGGGCGGAGCTATCAGACGCACATGTTGAATAACTTTTATTTATTTTGGATGGTGAAAGCAAAATTCTCCTACGAGAGTGATTTTAACGCCTCCCGATGGTGAATGCGGCAATACTCACGGCAGGTATTATCTGATAATTCGGTCGTTTATTTCACTGATTTGGCAACCGTCAAACGTCATCAGGGAAACGGTTTGAATTTCCGCTTAGTAAAAACACATTTGTGTGCCATTTGGGACGACACTACATACATATACTATCCTGTTGAGTGTGTAAGTGCATAAGTACATAGTGCATGAGTGCATAGTGTATAGTGTGCCATTTGGGACGCAGCTAAACTCTTTTTTTTTTTTTTGCAGTTGTCGTAAATTTTGACGTCTCATCAATTACAAATGATCAGACCGGAGGTTTTGAATATCAGAAAATAGACTTTATTCTCCATAATAAAGCCGAGAAAGAGCAGAGCAGACCCCAGAGCATTCTGAAGTCTCTCCTGGACACCTTCTAAAGTCTCTCCTGCTCCTTCCCCTTTATTTATGTTTTTGACACACCCCTATGTGTCTCTTTTTAACTTTTGACCATTTTTGAATAGGTTTCTAGTCTAAGGGGTCCTGCTATTCTTGGCTCTCAGCCCACTAGCTCATGTCAACAGAGATGTTACAGGTCTATGTCAGCAAAATATAGATGCAACTTATGCAAAGGAACCAAGTGTTGGCATACATTGTTATGATAGGATAACAACTTGATAATATGTTACTCATTCTAACTTCTAACACATATAGCTTTATAGAAGTATTTAACATATATGATCAGTGCTTTACATATTCAGTTATTCTACACATCAGTCACTCAGCCTTCTCCTAGTGTTGCTCCTGTGCAGGCATACTCATCTTACACAGACATATCACTGTATTTTTAACACAGGCTGGCATGTTTGCTGCAAACACTACATACATTTTGTGAAGAGAAAATTAACTGCTTTACACTTAGAAAATACTTCATACAGAGAGAATAAAATCTTCACAGTATGCTAAAAACATAAGCAGATAGGGTATATACCCAGCTAGTGTGTTTCACATACTGATAAACTTCCGGTGACTTTGTCAGTTTTGTTTTCCATCTATACGGTTCCTTTTACAGCATTGATGTTGTAATGTGAGCAAAGTTCAATCCGTTAAACAGACTTGGGCATTCATTTAGTTGCTCAAGCGTGAAACAAGACAAAAAGCCGTTTACTCGCACACGCCTGTCAGAATCGGCAGGCTAGCGCTGAAGCTCTATTGAATATACTGGGGTAACATAAATGCTCATTTTATAAAGACTTGGCGCAGGAAATGTCATTTAATGCAGTGCTTATTGTACAATCTAAGACCCACTTTATATCGGATATCACTCAGCCTGATTTTGAAAGAAAGCAGACCTTCAACGTGCCAGTTTTGTATTGGCATACAGTTCACAGGAAGCGGTTAACCCAGCTTACTTGCAATTCAAAGTCCTGTTAGCATGCTTTGGCATATACCGTATTTTGTAACAGTTTGTTAACTTTTGTCTGTGTATGTGCGTGTATTTTTTTATTCTGTGGAATTATTCAAGATATTGAACTATTTGCTTTTTTATTTCTGCAACAGGCATCACTCCAACTCACAGCAGCACAGGTTACATACCAGGTATGCATGGTTTCTTTACTCTGTACTTGACTATATTTTCAGATGGGCTTGTTCTCTAATGACACCAATGGACTGTAAATACCAAATAGTCTTCTGACGGTATCAAATGCTCTTGTTGTGTTTTATTGAATATTTGCGGTAACTTACTGCCAGTGCTGCAATTTACCACAACTGACCCGTTGCAGTTCCTAACCTGTAATGTGTTTTACAGTAGCAGCCCTCTACTGAGATTTTTCACAGTAAAATACCCTTACTTACCTTCTTTTTATGCCCTTTACTGCATTTGAGTTTTACAGTATGACAATAATAATGATCATTTTACAGTAGCACTGCACAACCCTTGTTTTAAGTATTTACTATTGAGTGTAATCAGTTCTAATCAAGTATTTGTTTTCATTAACATTTCACGTCTCATTTTGGTCTTCAGCTACAGTAGCAGTTTTTGTTTACCTTGATTACAGTAGAATGCCTAATATGCAGTAAGTTTCTGTAAACATTTTCAAATGTCCCACAATGCACTGCATATTACAGTAGTGAACTGTAAAGAGTGCACTGCTGCTGCGTTGGTGTTACAGCCCCCAGGCGCGGTGGCAGCAATAACAAAAAGAATTGTGATCTGTAAAATGAATAATAATAATAATAATAATTTTTATTTATATAGCGCCTTTCCAGAGCTCAAGGACACTTTACAAGGAATGCAACAAAAAGATAAACAAACATACATGAGGTCAAATATAACAAACATGAATAACACAATCGAAACCTAAGAGACATATGAGCAGGATAGTGGTGGATCAGATTAAGTGGTCAGTTTGGTAGATCAGATGCAAAGCATTCAGAAAATAAGTGAGTCTTAAGTAAGGATTTGAATTCAGAGATATTATTAGCAGAGCGGAGTGAGTGTGGTAGAGAGTTCCAGAGTTTGGGTGCAATAACACTAAATGATCTGCCCCCCATAGAAGAGAGGCGGTACCGAGGGACAGCAAGAAGGCCAGAGTCAGCAGACCGTAAAGAGCGAGTTGGGGTGTAGGGGACAAGCATGTTGCAGAGATAGGAGGGTGCAAGGTTATTTAAGGATCTAAATGCAAGGAGGAGAATTTTGAATTTAATCCGGTATGCAACCGGGAGCCAATGAAGATCATACAAGATTGGGGTTATGTGAGCCGAACGTTTGGTATGAGTGAGTATTCTAGCTGCAGAGTTTTGAATATACTGTAATCTGGAGATGAGGCTGGCAGGCAGGCCAATGAAAAGAGCATTACAGTAGTCGATGCGTGAGGAGACAAATGCATGGATGACAGTCTCAGCCTCCTTGCTACTGATGAAGGGACGCAGTTGTGAAATGCGACGTAAGTGAAAGAATGCAGATTTAGTGACAGATTTAATGTGTGACTGAAAAGAGAGTGTGGAGTCAAAGATTACACCTAAATTTTTTTACAGAAGTAGATGTTTTAATGTGCAAGCCAGCAATCTAACAGGAATAACTGGTGGGAATATTGCTGGTAAGTGCTGGGGTGCCAATAAAAATTATCTCAGTTTTGTCCATATTAAGTTTTAGTGAATTTGAGGTGAGCCAATCATTAATATCATTCACGCAAGCAGAGATGTTTTCAATTTGGGCGGATGCAGTTGGAGTACATACAGAGTAAAGTTGAATATCATCAGCATAAAGATGATAGTTAAGACTGTGATGTTGTAGAATCAGACCAAGTGGAATTAGGTATACTATTAAAGAATGTAACCATGAATGAAAACACTTAGACGAAAGCAAGACAGGGCCACGCGATTCTTTCTCCAGATTACGTCTATTAAATCATTTAAACTCAAACACATTTCTTACAATAAATGCATTCTCTGTCTAGCATATTTACTGTGTATTAAACACAAATAACGTGCATTTACATGAATTAGCTTCACCAATCAGATAAATAAAATCTTCCTGCTGCAAATTCACTCAAATCAGAGTAGATATCCTACTAGTTACAAGTAACAGTGCAATATTGCATTAATTTCCCTGAGATATAGTACTATCACACATTTAAATTAATCAAAAGTATTGTTTAACACTCAAAATACACTGTATGTGCTAGAAATTAGCTTGCTTAAACTGGGACATTGCATTTGAAAGTGTACAGAAACTTTAACAGACCTTATGAAATAACACTGAAGAAATAAAGCTATTAGTAGTAATAATATTATCAAAACTGTAAACAGAATAGCATATACTTATTTATAAAACTCTCATATGCTTCCTTAACACACTATTATGAATTCACTCTGCTCTAAAACAGCTCACTGGACATGTAAACACATATTGGGAGACTTTAAGCATCAACTGGAGCGATCTGTGTTGCTTTCAAGCAAAAGATAAAGTGTTTAAATTTAATTTACACTACAGACGGACTAAATGACTGGGCGCCAACAAACTCTCATGATAATAGCCCGACCTCACACCATTACCTAAAGTGTTTTCAACTTTAACCTATCCAAAAGTTCTCAGAATCTTCACTGTACAGTTTCCAACAAATATAATCGTTACACAACGTCTAAAACTTTATGCTTTGACAGTTTAAACACAGTACTGGGGTCCGTTCTTCGTACGTGGATTACTCAGTTAGCTGGATTTGGATATTGACGATTTGACACGATCCAGGATTGTTTCGTTCTTCAAAGCTGATCCGAGAGTTGTTGTCGTAGCAACAGTTCTGCTAAGTCAAACCTGATCGGGAGCAGGTTCAATTCATATAAACAGGATTAGATCGGCTCAGATCAAGCAAAGATAATACAGAAAGTATGTTCCGAATTCTGATATTTTCTTACAGTAGTAGTTATATAAACTTAGGGAAATGGTACATATTTTTAAACTATATAAATAAAGTTATAGTCATTAATAAAATAAATTAAGTTATACATTTTAATAAAACGTATGCAATCTGCACCCTCGAAATAAAAGTAGGCTACAAAGATTGCCACCTGGTGGTGCAAAGAGAAAGCTTATTGATATGAACTTTTTAGATCGCTTTAGTACAAATTGTGTATAATAGACATGCACAATATGTGACTTTTTTAAAGCAACAATACATTTATGCAGTCATAAACATGTTTTGACAGTTAATATGCCAGTGATTTGATGCTTCACAAAAGTTGCAGACGCCTTTACCAATATGAAAATGCTTTTGTAAACATCCAGTTATTCTTTACACCGATTAAAAAACGGCTACTGTGATAAAGAAAATCTTTTCTAAATGCGGAACTAAATACATTGATTTGCATTGAAATACATGATGAATACTCTTGACACATGAAAGTGTAAAGCCTGCAGCTCACAACAAATGTGGAAGGTTATTGCGTGTCATATTTAACAAACCGTTTGCTGCTAATTTGACGTAATTTTGCTCACATGGATAAATGAATATTAATCAGATGATGTCATTACGCTGCTGTGCCGTCAGCCAATCGTTGCATTGCTGATCATGATTTCGAGGATCGATAGATCTGTCCTTTACAACACACACAGCGATCTCAGATCAGTTTATCCAGACATTCAAATCTGATTCGCGAACTCGTTTGAAGAACCAAATTAGTGAGAGATCAGTTATCAAGATTAAAAGATCCGGGATCTGCCAAATAATCTTAGATCATTTAAGCGAGGTACGAAGAACGGACCCCTGACCTGTAAAATGAATGAAAACACTGAGACGAAAGCAAGACAGGACCATGCGATTCTTTCTCCAGATTACGTCTAACCGGAAACCAGGGGTTCCGTCAGTATAGGCACCCGGGAACAAATAACCGCATTAAAGGTTCCGGTCCCCCTATGCTGTCTCATTCATTATCACAATTTTTTTCCCATTGCAGGACATTGCACTAAATGACAAATAACAATTTGCTGAATTAAAAAAGATGCTATTCTTAATTTAAATGAATAAACAGTATTATCTATTTATAAAATATATATATATATATATATATATATATATATATATATATATATATATATATATATATATATATATATATATATATATATATATACACATTTATATCACCAAATGTGGTTGTACAAATTTGGCTGCACCACATTGGCAAAGTCTAACAGTGCAGCATGGTGATTTGTGTTCCTCTTTACCCTTTCCAGAGAATCTTGCACTCAGAGGACAGGCTGTACAGTCTTCTACATATGTTGCATGGTCTAGTTTTGCGATTGATGGTTATTCCACCAGTTGCACACACACCAAAACTGAGACGAACCCATGGTGGAGGCTGGAACTGCCAAATTCATTCAGCATCGGAAGAGTTGTGTTCATTAACAGAATCGACTGCTGTCCAGCACTAATAGACGGAGCCCAGATTCTCATCGGAGACTCCCTGGTGAACAACGGCAGCAGCAACTCCAAGTAACAAGAATGTTTACATTAAAAAAATAATTGTATGCAATTTACAATTGCATTGCTTTGTGTAATACATGTAATGCATGAAACGGTCTTTAAAAGCTAAAAGACTTGTCTAGCATTGATTTACTGCTATTTTCCTATATTACTGCTAAGTCTTTGGAGAACAACAGCAACTCCAGGGGCCTGTTTCAGTAAGGAGGTTCAAACAACTCAATTTAACCTTGAGCTCTGAGTTGATTTACGGAGAGATTAAAAACTAAGAGCTTTCAGTTTTATAATAGCAGAGTTGGATCAATCAACTTTGAGTAGACCAACTCAGAGTTAAGCGCGCATACCGTGACTATAAAAAGGCATTATCAATGGAGCGCAGATATTACGAGTGACCATGGCTACATCTTAAAAATAGAGATCAGCATTTCTTTCTCCAGCTGAACTTGATGTGATCATGCAATGTTATAGCAAATATAAGTGTATATATTTAAAAAGAAGCAGCCATCAGTGAAACAGAGACAGTTAGCCTGGGAAAACAGCTGCTCAAGTTAATGCGTAATTTTACATTTAAAGTATTTCAATATTCAAGTATAATAAAATAAGTAATGTAATGAGTGACGTTTATACTTTTTTCTAAACTTTTATACACGTTTATCAGTTTTAATAGATTTAACAGTGCACTTGTGTGTTTGCCTCTGTTATTGATCAAGTGATAGAGGTTGACATAACATTTAGAAGGTAAGCAGAAATAAACAATAGTGTTTAGAAAGAATAATAATCCCATTAATCTAGTAACAGTACAAGTCGAAGTTCATTGAATTTAAGCTAATTATTTATTAAAAAAGAACAAGCCATTCTTGTACGTGACTTTGTTCTGTGTGTGACTGAAATGTAGGCAATATCTATGTTTCCATCAAAATATATTAATAAAATTTATGTGCAAAACTCGAATAACGCATAAAAGATGTGGGAATAAAGCAGCGAGGCAAAGAGAAAAAAATTCGTCACTTTCTGATTAACTGGCGCCAAATATCAACAGTAAAAACAGAATTTACCACGGTAGAAGAAGCTGCGTCAATTATTTCTTTACTTAATAAATGTACTTGCGCCTCAGAAGGACAATGCTGACACACAATAAATGCGTGGGGGCGTTTGAAGCCATGAGACGCGGAGACCCGCATAAAAACGATTGATAGAATCATCATGCGCGTCTCCACGTCTTATGGCTTCAAACGCCCCCATCTTCAAAATTATCATTAAAATAGGTGGGTGGAAAGGGAAGGCTAAGGCGAGAAATACCGCTTCGTCTTTCTAGTGTGGAGACCAAGAGAAACTCTGAGTTTAGAGAATAAACCTGTTCCTGACCAGGTTAGGTTCACAGAGTAAGTTACCACAGTAACTGACTCTGAGTTAAAGTTACCTCTCTTTCAGAAACAGGCTTGACTTACCCTGCTTTCTCCAGTCTGACACACCTGCCATTTTAAAACGGAAAACTCAGAGTTTCTCTCATTTCAGGGTTAAAATACTCTGAGTTTTCACTTAACCTCCTTTCTTAAACAGGCCCTGTGACTATAAAAAGGCATTATCAATGGAGCGCAGATATTACGAGTGACCATGGCAACATCTTAAAAATAGAGATCAGCATTTCTTTCTCCAGCTGAACTTGATCTGCTCTTGCAATGTTATAGCGAATATGAGCGTATATATTTAAAATGAAGCAGCCATCAGTGAAACAGAGACAGTTAGCCTGGGAAAACAGCTGCTCAAGTTAATGCGTGATTTTACATTTAAAGTATTTCAATATTCAAGTATAATAAAATAAGTAATGTTATGAGTGACGTTTATACTTTTTTCTAAACTTTTATACACGTTTATCAGTTTTAATAGATTTAACAGTGCACTTGTGTGTCTGCCTTTTTATTGATCAAGTGATAGAGGTTGACATAACATTTAGAAGGTAAGCAGAAATAAACAATAGTGTTTAGAAAGAATAATAATCCCATTAATCTAGTAACAGTACATGTCGAAGGTCAGTGAATTTAAGCTAATTATTTCTTAAAAAAGGACAAGCCATCCTCGTACGTGACTTTGTTCTGTGTGTGACTGAAATGTAGGCAATATCTATGTTTCCATCAAAATATATTAATAAAATTTATGTGCAAAACTCGAATAACGCATAAAAGATGTGGGAATAAAGCAGCGAGTCGAAGAGAAAAAATTCGTCACTTTCTGATTAACTGGCGCCAAATATCAGCAGTAAAAACAGAATTTACTGCGGTAAAAGAAGCTGCGTCAATTATTTCTTTATTTAATAAATGTACTTGCGCCTCAGAAGGACAATGCTGACACACAATAAATGCGTGGGGGCGTTTGAAGCCATGAGACGCGGAGACCCGCATAAAAACGATTGATGGAATCATCATGCGCGTCTCCACGTCTTATGGCTTCAAACGCCCCCATCTTCAAAATTATCATTAAAATAGGTGGGTGGAAAGGGAAGGCTAAGGCGAGAAATACCGCTTCGTCTTTCTAGTGTGGAGACCAAGAGAAACTCTGAGTTTAGAGAATAAACCTGTTCCTGACCAGGTTAGGTTCACAGAGTAAGTGAAAACCGTAACTGACTCTTAGTTAAAGTTACCTCTCTTTCAGAAACAGGCTTGACTTACCCTGCTTTCTCCAGTCTGACACACCTGCCATTTTGAAACAGAAAACCCAGAGTTTCTCTTAAAATACTCAGAGTTTTCACTTAGCCTCCTTTCTGAAGCCCCAGATGACAAGAAAATCTACAGGCCGACAATACCTTGTTGGTATGACACATAGAGGGAAATGCAAGATGACCAATCATTCTGAGGAGCTGGCCATGTGATTCAGGCCCTGTTTACACTAATGCGTTTTAGTTTGAAAACGCGTAAGTTTTGCTACGTTTACGCCATCCGTCCACACTACGCCGGAGTTTTCGAGCGCCAAAAATGGAGCGTCTTGGAAACGCTGCAGAGGCTGTTTTCATTCTGAAGCGCTGCTGCTCCGTCTCAGTGTGGATGAGGGAAAACGGAGACATCTGAAAACGGAGGCGGGGCTGCTGAGATTCGCTACCTGATTGGGCTTTTGTGTCATTGCGTATCCTCCTCTTATTCGTCAAGCCCCTATTACATGACTATAACACATGGCTTTAACGCTACCGGAAGACAGCATCAGACAGTGTCTGTTTTAGTCGCCATTGTGCAGTTATTCATTTGTCACGTTTACTAACAACTCAACCTCGTCGTCTGTCCACAAAACATAAAATACCTCTCTTGCTTTCTTTGCCATCGCGTTCATTGTTCAACCGGCGTTTGTTGACTAACAATAACCAAATGCCGAGCGTGACGCATGCTTCCTGTTTATACTCGAACGCACATGCCCAGAGTGCACGAATGGTCACGTGATATACGTTTTTGGTGGCGTAGTGCGGACGGAGATATGTTCAGAAACGCTAGGTGAAACACTAGTGTGGACGCGGATCGTTTTTGATCTAAAACGCCGTTTTAAAACTCAAACGCACTAGTGTAAACGGGCCTCGGGTTGCAAAAATGGCCCCCTAGTTCACTGGCGTTTATTGCACAGTGGTCATGTCTGCCCCTGTCTTGCACTAGATTGCTGTCCTCATCAAGCCAGTGCCTCCAACTGAGATGCGGGTTTTACTGATCGAGGGGCTATAATACTCCAGGAGCTCCCTCAACTAATAGTGAAATTAGCCATTCAGGGCTTTGTAGGTAGTCAATAAAATTGTAAAATGTATAGGATATTTAATAGGGAGCCAATCAAGTGATGATTGAACTGGAGTAATATGATCATATTTCTGTTCTAGAAAGCACTCTAGCGGCTGCATTTTTGAACCAGCTGGAGTTTGTTATTTAGGCCAACAAGCAACAATTAGTGCATCTGCTTAGTAACGACAAATGATGCACTTAAATTGTTTAAATAGTGCTCTTGGTGTGATATTGCAGAAGTTCATGTTAACCTACAACTGTTTTATTTATTCTCTCTAGATGTGCGGAGATTTCTGGTCTTTCAGCAGGTCAGTCTGTCTCGTATTCATGTGGTGGACTGCAAGGCCGTTATGTGATTGTGTTTGTTCCTGGAGACTTCAAGAATCTGACTGTGTGTGAACTGATGGTCTATTCCACAGGTGCTTCTGACACTTATAGACACTGCACACTACTGCACCCCACATCACATTAATAAAATAATTAATCATATTTAGTGGTTCTCAAGTAGGGCTTGGCGATTTGGGAAAAATATCTAAATGCGGATAATTGCCTCACAGGATTTAACTGTGTGTGTGTGTGTGTGTGTGTATATATATATATATATATATATATATATATATATATATATGCGTTTCCTGGTCTGATGCATTTGCGTGCGTATAAATGGAAGTCTATGGGAGCAAAAGCCCAGTGTGACCGCAGCTTTAGACAGCATTTTTAGCAAACAAAAATGCTTATTTTTAAAAACACTGTGATAGGATAAATGTGAAAATGCTGTTTTCATGTGGCAGTGTGTATCTGCAAAAACTGAGGCTTTAGAAAATGTCCGCTGTCGAGACATTTTAGTCATGTTCAGCAGTCGTGTGATGGACGACATTGTAAAGCAGATGTTTAGGGTGTTGACAGCTTCATTACAGATGAACATCAGTTTGAAGATCCCACATAGCAAAATGTCTCTGGCCCAGCTCTGGCCCACACAATCAGGTTTTGCTTGGCCCACATGCCGCAGTGAATTACGGTACATGACTGGACCAAATCTGGCTTCCAGACAAGGGCCAAACACAGACCATATCTGGGCCAAGTCTCAGCCAAGTTAATAACTCATAACTGGGCCTGAACTGGGCCAGATAGGTTGATGTGTCACGATTACCCATGAAGCATTGCGCTTTAGGCACACTATGGGCCTTGTTTTTTCTCAGTGACCTGATTGGTAGAATTGATTTATTTAATCAAAAATTATTTTAATGTGTTTTAAATGTGGGTCAAGACTGGCCAAACTCACGTGGCCCACAATCAATTTTTTAAATCTGGGCCAAATACTATGTTTCACATCTGGCCCAAATCTTGTGTGCCGCATTATAGACGGGGCCACCTCTGCCAAACCCAGGCCATGTTTGGCCCACGTGCTGTATGCCAGTGCCGGATGAATGCCTGCTGTCCCAGCTTAATGCCAAATCTGGGCCAGAATTCTTTGCTACTAGGGATGCTCCATATTACCTCTCTTCACAGCACAGGGAAAGTTTACTGTAAGCTGTTGCTTTCTTGACATTTTACTGCCACATTTAATAGAGACAGAAAGTAAATAAACAGCAGGTGAATATGAGCAGGTGAAAGCAATACATCTGTGCACATGTGCAGTACATTAACTAAATTGTTAGTGGCCGCTTTAGTGAAAAGGATTGAAACAGTGGTGTGGACATGAAGCACTATTAGGGTGCTTTCATGGCTGCCTTATTTAGTTCGGTTGAATTGCACTGGAGTTTGTTTTCTTTCTTGGTGCGGTTCGATTGGGCAGATGGGAATGTAGCAATTGCACTCAAGTGCGCACCAAAAGCGGACCAAAAATAGGGCACCGTGAGCTCCTTGAAGAAGTGGTCTCGGTACGCTTTTAAAGTAACCCTGGAGCGGTTCGTTTGTGGTCAGAATATGATCAGAATTAAAACAGACCCAACCGCAAAAGGTACTGCACCTTTTTGGACTAATCCAGCTGCCGTAGGCCGATGCGCTGTGCATTATGGGATGTGGAGGAAAAATATTTGTTACTCCCCTCAAGATTAAACAAAGGCTCAAGTCATTCTTGATTTTAACTGACATTTATTCGGACGCGAGTCTGTAGTGTCTTGAACATCCTTGCACTCCTTTATGTCCCAATAATGCCGTCAGAACTACGAAAAGAAATACATAAACTTAAATTAACCCTTAAAAGGTGATGTTGCACGTAATGAACAAAATAAATGCAACCAATAGATAACGTGCAAATTCAACATGTATGGAAATATACTTAATTGGCTAATTATACATTAACATACGGACACATATTCATACATGTTCACATACATTAACACTATACGACATTCTCGAAATGTATAGTTTGACTATTCTGATGTATATAAACTATATAGTATATGATGAGCAGAGATACAATCAGACAACACAGTCATCCCTCAATATTCAAAGTGACATTTGTTTACTTGTGGGAGTTTCAGTGGCATTTTCCCACACATGAATTCTGACCAATCGAAAAGCATAGGAAATACGTTCAATAACATCTGGTCAATGAGGGATGTGGGTTTTGTCACATGACTGCATTTTGGTTTTTTTCAACTGTATGTAGCTCCGCCCTTTTCTGAAAAGAGCACAATCTCACTTGAATTTAAAGCGACAGTCACCAATACGCCACAACTAGGATCAAAGCCTAAAGGGGTCGGTTTCAGAGAGTCATAAGCCATTATTTGTGAGCAATTTTGAGCTGAAACTTGACTACACACTCTAGAGCAGGGGTGGTCAATCCTGTTCCTGGAGATCTACCTTCCTGCAGATTTCAGTTGCAACCCTTATCAAACACACCTGTCTGTAATTATCAAGTGGATTTCAGGTCCTAATTAATTGGTTCAGGTGGGTTTGATTAGGGTAGGAGCTAAACTTTTTTACAATTGGTTCGGACCAAAGCCATCAGAGGACCCAAGAAAATGTTACAATATATCATTTGTTGTGATTGGTCCGGACCATATGAACCAAACTAAAGATGTGAAAGCACCCTTTGGTACTGATTTATCTGGATTAGTGTAAATGTAGCCTTACATCAGCAAAAACACTTCCCATTCACTTTGAAAAAAAAATTTGGGGGGGAAATTCCCAACATTTTAAGCGCCAATGGAAGCGTCAATCAATCAGATGGCTTTATGCAAATACTCCAACTCAGCCGATTGAGGACTAATTTCATTGGCTGATGCTGCTAAGATGCACAGTAAAACATAGGGCCTATATAGGCCTAAAAAAGAAACAAACACTAATAGAGGGACTGTAAAAGCGTAAAATTATTTTCAGACGTGCTTCTGATGTGTTTTGACGTGCAGCTTCTTCATCTTCTAGGTAACGTTCAGTTAAATGGATATGCTGTTCAGTCATCTATATATGAATACTGGCACGCCCAAAGCGGGAATGATGGAATAAAATTCGCACCAGGCCAGAATTCATTTTGCACCCATACAAAGACAAACACGAACCCGTGGTGGATTCTGGATCTGCTGGACACTTACTACGTGGATTTTGTTACCATCACAAACAGAGCCGACTGCTGCGCCGAAAGAATCAACGGAGCCGAGATTCACATCGGAAACTCAACAGAAAACTACACCTACAACAATCCCATGTGAGAAAATATCTACTTTAAAGATAGCCAGCCTCTAATGGTAAACACTGATTCATTTTATTTGTTATCAGGCTTGATAAAGACAGACTGCAAAAACACTTTGATTGACATTCTCCCTTTTTACGCATCATCAGACGGGGAAAGTCCTGCCCACTAGTGCCCATCTCTCCATCTCATTAGCATAAACAGCAGCCCTGAGTGAGAGGCAGTCGTCTGTCCATTAGCCATTAGAGTGTTTAAGCTGCTGGAGATAATGTCAGCATAGACTAAGAGGATTATAGATGTGGAGTTTTAGATGAAGTACAAATGAACAGGAGTCTCCATAGACTGACAGGAGCATGAAGCACACATGCACACCTGACCAGCACTGACAACACACACACTGCTGTTTTATATCTGCCGCTATGCTGATGCAGAGTTGTATGTAGCTCCGCCCTCTTTTGAAAAGAGCACAATCTCATTTAAATTTAAAGCGACAGTCACCAAATGCCACCAAAGCTTAAAGGGGTCGGTTTCAGAGAGTCAGAAACCATTATTTGTGAGCTTTTTTGAGCTGAAACTTGACTACACACTCTAGACATCAGAGACGCATTTAAGATCTTGTTAAATTGGGTGTAATAGGTCACCTTTAAGGTTTATTTAAAATAAAATGTATTAGTTCACCCAATGGGGCGAGCCTTGGCTGGGTCAGTAGGCGTTTCTGTGTGGAGTTTGCATCTTCTCCCTGCGTTTGTGTGGGTTTCCTCAGGGTGCTCCGGTTTCCTTCACAGTCCAAACACATGCGGTACAGGTGAATTGGGTAGGCTAAATTGTCCGTAGTGTATGAGTGTGTATGGATGTTTCCCAGTGATGGGTTGCAGCTAGAAGGGCATCCGCTGCATAAAACATGTGGACACGCTGAAGGGACTATGCCTCTCGGCTGGCCAGGGAACACTTTGGGAATCTCCCAGAGGAGCTGGAGGAAGTGTCAGGGAGGAGGGAAGTCTGGAGTTCTCTCCTGCTGCCCCCGCGACCTAGCCTCAGATAAGCGGACGAAATTGATATTGAGATGAGGCCAAATCTAGAGCTAATCTAACAAAATAACGTACAAATAATAATCTGAAATGGGTGACGTGGTGGCACAGTAAGTAGTGCTGTTGCCTCACAGCAAGAAGGTCGCTGGTTCGAGCCTCGGCTGGGTCAGTTGGTGTTTCTGTGTGGAGTTTGCATGTTCTCATTTCATTTTCTTGTCAGCTTAGTCCCTTTATTAATCTGGGGTCGCCACTGCAGAATGAACCGCCAACTTATCCAGCACGTTTTTACGCAGCGGATGCCCTTCCAGCTGCAACCCATCTCTGGGAAACATCCAAAAACACTCATTCACACACACTCATACACTACCGAAAATTTAGCCTGCCCAATTCACCTGTACCGCATGTCTTTGAACTGTGGGGGAAACCGGAGCACCCGGAGGAAACCCATGCGAATGCAGGGAGACCATGCAAACTCCACACAGAAACACCAACTGAGCCGAGGATCGAACCAGCGACCCAGCGACCTTCTTGCTGTGAGGCGACAGCACTACCACTGCTTCGCCCACTGTATTTCATTCCAGACAAAATAAGCTCAAAATCGTTGATGTTTTTTGTCTGGTCAACTTTACTCAGTTTAGATCATATGTCCCAAGCTTAATTCCTGGAGGGCCGCAGCTCTGCACAGTTTTGCTCCAACCCTAATCAAACACAGCTGATCCAACTAATCAAGGTGTTCAAGACTACTAGACACTACTAGATCAACTGTGTTTGATTAGGTTTGGAGCCAATCTGTGCAGAGCTGTGGCCCTTTAGGAATTGAGTTTGAGACCTGATTTAAGCTGCGGTCACACTGGACTTTTCTCTCCATAGACATCCATTCATACCACGCGAATGCGTCAGACCGGAAACGCAAGGTCAAGCGTTAAGTTTTGCAGATCGCTGCATTAGAAAGTTCAAGCTTGGTAAACTCTGACCGGCGAAATCACATCACATGATTGCGTGAGACCAATCGAAGATCAAAATATGACCTCTCTGTACTGTAGACCAATCGCTCGCTTTTTTTAAAATGTCTAATCATCTTGTTTAATCCCGCCCCTTTTCGCAGAGCCGTACGAGAGAATTTCGCACGCTCAAACTCTAGTGTGACCGCAGCTTAAGAGCTAGTAATCAGGTAAACTGGTGAAATAATGACGTGATGTGAAACAAGTGATGTCAACAGGGGATTGTAATTATGATTTGGTACAAAAGCAGCATCCAATAAAGGTCCAGTCCTTTAGGAGCAAAGATGGGCCGAGGATCGCCAGTTTGCCACCAAATACGAGAGAAAATTATTGAAATGTTTAAAAACATTTTCCTCAGAGAAAGAGAGGAAGACATTTGGATATTTCACCTTCAACAGTGCAGAACATCATTAAAAGATTTAAGGAATCTGGAGGAATTTCAATGTGTAAAGGACAAGGGTGCAAGCCTAAGCTGAACAACCGTGATCACTGCATCAAGAATCCTCATTCATCTATAAGCCAGATCACCACATGGGCTCAGGACTACTGCGGCAAAGCTTTGTCAATGTAACCCCGCCGGTCCTACGCCACCCAACCCGCTCCAAGCTGGTATCAAACCGGCGACCTTGTGCATGGAAGTCAGTTGCTCTACCAAGGATGTTAAAGACCATGGCCTCTAGCGTCTGTCACTAAAGCACGTTTAGAGGTTAGAGGAGTGAGGTTTACCCGCACAGCCCCTACTAGCTGGCCTCCGTTACATCAAGAACCTCAATACGTAGTGTAGCGAGGGAAAACACTGACACAGTTGCGTTTAGTTACAAACAAGTCCCCGGAGGGTGCTTTATTTACAAAGCGTAAGGGGTGAAATACGATGCTCTTCTTAGGTATGGTGCTCTGGGGAGAAGGTGAAGGATAGTGAGAAGTCGGGTGCTGGATCGTCACGAGCTGGAGTCTGCTGTGGGAGAGACAGAGAGACACAAGCATTAGCGCAGGGAGTCATTTGAGAATGAAGCTCGTCTTCCTCTTGTGTGGGGCTGGCTTATATGCCTCCCTGGCTGATGAGGTCCAGCTGTGAACGATCCGGTGTTGATGAGGTTCCAGCTGGGGTGAATTTGCGACCAGGGCGACGTGACATCAGTGTGCTCGCTACAGTAGTTACAGTTACAACATGTAGTCTACAAATGCCAGTGAAACCTGTATTGTACCAAAAGGAAACCCCATGTTTACAGTGTCCAGAAGGGCCGTCAACTTTTCTGGGTCTTGAGGCATCTGCGATGGACTTTTTACATCTTGTTAAATGGCGCATATTAAGTCACTTTCAATACAGTGGAAACACAGGGTCCGATGATTCCAGGTATATTTTTGGGAGAAATGGATGCTCCGGACCAAAGAAGAAAGGGATCATACACATGTGTACCAGCAACAAGTCCAAAAGCCAGGGTCTGTCTTGGTATGGGGTTGTGTCACTTGGCAACAGTAACTTGCACTTCTGTGATGCTCCGTTACTGCTGAAAAGTACAAAGAGATTTTGGAGCACAATATGCTGCATTCTTTTCCAGGGACGCTCATGCATATTTCAACAAGACCACATTCTGCACACATTACAAAGTCCTGCTGCTAAGGAAGAGGATACAGGTACTGGACTGCCTGCAGAGCCAACCAGTCTCCAACAGAATGTGTGGCACAATGCAACAACAAAGACCCTGCACTGTTGCCCACCCTAAAGGGCACCTATGGTGAAAAATCTACTTTTCAAGCTGTTTGGACAGACATGTGTGTGTGTATAGTGTATAGGCCGTCATATTTAACTGATGTAAACACACCGAGTCCTTTTTTTTTTTTTTTTTCATTTTAACAACATAAAAAAGCTGGACCAATTGGAGCGGTTTTCAGACCAACTGCAACTTTAGGTAGGAGTGTGCTCCCCCCGCCCACCGAATTGATTGACAGCTTCGCGTTGCATGTCCCGGTAGTCACGTGTATAATCATGTCAACAAGAGAAGGCGAGCGCAAAGCAAACGGGAATAAAAGATCTGTATAGTTCGCTAGGATCATCAATCATCATCAAATGTGATCGAGAGTGAGTTTCACAAGTTTAACATGTTTTAAAACAGAGCACGTGTGTAATGAAGTACAGCGATTTACTTCAGCTTTACTTCATCAGCACAGCCGCATGTCAGAACAATTGTAAAGGAAGATGCTTCAATCCTGGTCTGTGGACGTTAAATCAGGTTTATTTTGTACATTAACATCACGGATATCCATACAGCAGCGGAGATTTACCTGTATCCTGTCACATATGCGTGCAAAAAGAGTGCAAAGCTAAACGTGCGCTGTCTGTCTGTATGTGTGTTTTTCTGTGTGTGCGCACTTTGTACATTGACATTGTGTGTGTGACTCATCAATGCATCTCCACAACAAATAGTCATTGGTAAAGTTCTTACTGTAGTATTTCTCACAAACACTACGTGAGATCATCTTCCTAAGTCTGTCTGTCTGTTGTCTGACTCAGCCGAGGGAGGAGATGAAGGCACGCAGAAAGGCTCGTAGAAACGGTAGGCGGAGCAGACTATCCTTAAAGGCGCAGTACGACTAAACGGCACCCTGGTAGAAAAAAAGGCAAAACACTTATATTAAATCTGAAAAAGGGGTAACCTAGGTGCCCTTTAAGACTTGTTTGCAGGAAGAATGGGACAAAATTACACCTAAAACCCTTCATCACTTGGCAGGCCCGTGCAGAGAATGTCCAAAGGGCATGTGCAGGATAAATTGGTGTCGCGGGGGGATCATTTTGGAAGGGCGCTTTCTATCCAAGACTAAAAAGGGCATGTGCACTACACAGGTTCAGCCCTATGTGTTCACGTGGCTGTCACTTGGTGTCTTCAATTCGTAAACGTCTTTGAAGTGTTGTGAAAAGGAATGGCAACAATACAAAGTGGTAAATGCTTTACTGCTAAAAAATGTTTATTTTTAAATGTGTTGCAAGAACC